TCCGATGAAGAAGCAGAAGTGGATGCGACACGGCCACAAGACGCGGACGGCCAGCATGAGGAATGGATGCTCCCTTCGTGGCCGCCACAACCTTGGCATGGAGCCACGGCCGGATCCCACTGCTCTGGGTGTGTGGCTAGTGCTGTACTGCATGCATGTGGAGCGCTCTGGGGAGAATTGTACAGTGCACACCAACGAGGCTGGCGACGACATCATCATGATGTGCAATGACTGCATTCATGCCTTGGAATGTAAGCACTAAACACTGGGTCGGGGGAACGAATGTGTGGCAACATATGTATTTGATGGGTTTTGGCGGCTGCTTTCCTGTGGGATGTTGTTCGTTGTGGCCGGTTCTGGGGTAGGCTGCTGGGACATACGCATTTCATGAGAATTTGCATGCGGTGCTTTCGTTGCCGATCATGTGTGCTGGGTGTTCATGCATGATGCACACAACCGCACTGGTTATTCTGGCTGGTCTGCCCTGCCTGTGGCTGCTGCCTCCGCATCCAGGCGGACGCATCCCGGAGGCTGCTCTCGCACGCTATGATGGTGGAGACGTGCCGGAAATCAATCAGGATGGGCAGCATCTGGAGTGGCCTACCGTGCTGGAAGCCAACATACTGGGGCTGGGCCATGTGCAGCAGCAGATCTACATGCTTAAGGTTAAGAACCGGCCGCCTGACTTGCAGCCCATCACCGTCACAATGCACAAGATAGCCATGGCGAACCCATCACTCGATCAGTGGGTGGACACCATCCCATGCCCTGCTGTGTCGTTGCCGGAGAACATCACCGTCCTCTGCATGGATGTCGTCAGCAGCAAGGAGGAGCTGCTAGAAAAGCTCAAGAGCACCAAGGTGTTGTCCATCCGAGCAGCTAATATTGTGGCCTGGGTCAACTACCTCAGCAACCTCACCTCCGAGAGGCATATCGATGACCAAGCGATGAAGGAGTGGCAGGCAATGGACCCAGAGTGTCACAAGCGGACAACACACCGGAGGATGCTGGTCTCGAGGAGCTCGGAGTTCTGGTGCCTGT